TTCATTTAACATTAATATCTGTAAATCTGGTATGTGATACACCCTTTCTGATTTAGGAAACTTGGAAGCCAGGTTGAAAAAAGTTTGCTCATGCACTTAAGCATAAAACAAACAGCACAAAGAATGACTTTAATACACACACACACACACACACACACACACACACACAGACTGTGCTAGTACTCAGAGATGCAAGTCATCTAAGCAGAACCCTTTTCTGGTATTTTCCTCTTTTCTAAGTTAACTACACAGTATTTATTATATTCTGTAATTTTTAAATCACAGCAATGTGATTCTACGGGATTAAACTGAACCATATAATCAGAAGAAACAAACTCTACTTGATTATGTTTTAAAAGATGGAAAAATAGATAACAGGTCTAGCCACAATGCACAAGAGCAGCACACATTTTACAGACTGGACTACTAGGTATAGCCCAAAGTCACCCCAAAACCATATTCAAAACAAAACTGGGTCTTCTAATCAACACACTATTTTATCATAATCACTTCTCATTTGTATTATAAATTGTTATTAACCAAATAACCCATATTTTGTGTATCAATACAAGTCCTGTTTAAGGGGGTTGTAGAGTACCAAAACTAACTTTTTGTATATGGTGGAGGGGGAGAGACTTAGCAGGAAATCTATAACTATACCACCCAGGTCATTTCATAGACCTTTGCAAGGAAAGAGAGAAATAAAACGATCAGATCATCACATTTTTAACTAATGTATGTTACAACATAATTAAAATGACCACATTTTAGGGCACAAATTGAGACAGCATCAACATACAAGTATGATAATTGAAAGAGTAAAATACAATACCTCAATTTGGATCTACTCTAGAAAAAGTAGTGTATGTATGTGTGTGTCTGTGTGTGTGTGTATATATATATATATATGGTTGATTAAACAGATTTCTGTTAAAAGTACTTAAGATGACCACTTATACACAGCATGAGATCTCCTGGCTGCAGGCCCTTTGTTGAGAGCTTCAGGTCTCATTTGTATCATTTGAATATCTATAGTATTTTATCTATAAAGCACCATATCACATTTTCCTCCTATGAAATGACTTGCACACATCTTACAGCCCCTGTTAGATCTATGTTTGATTTATGTTTCTACCACCCACAGCCTAAACTAGGTAACTTTTAACTAGCAGTCAATAAATAAGTTTATGGATGACTAAACAGCATGCACTCACATGTTCGCTCTCTCTCACACATGCATAAACACAACAAAAAAGGAGGAGTGGGGGAGAGCTAGGAATTTAGCTTTGCCACAAGCTCAACATGAATTATGTCATAGATCAAATTAAAATCTAATGATGTAATAGAAATGTGGTATCCAAACCAAAAGCAGCTAGAATCTCGACTTTTCCTTTCGGTAGTTACACTATATTTGGAATATAATATTAAATTTATTTTGGGGTGGTCACTAAAAACTTAGGAAGGCTGAAAGATTGCTATTATTTCATGATACTGATAAAAAATGGGTAATTAAAAAATATCTGAAGTTAAGGGTCATAAAAATTTACATAAATTGCTGTCAGTAATATTCTTACCTTAAAAAAAAGACCCTAAATATATCTTCTTACCTCCTTCAAATCAAAGCAAGAGATTTTATAACTTAAAAGTACTTTTTTCTACAATGATCATTACATTTTAATATGGAAAATAAGTTAATTTAATATTTATTTACATGTGCAAAACACTTTAAGTTACATAGTATTTATTATATGATTAGTAATTAATTTTATATCTGATTAAAAATAATTATTCATCCATTAATATCTTTCTTATGCATCTGTACATCTGATCACACTTTTAATTTTTTTTTAACATTTATTTATTTTTGAGACAGAGAGAGACAGAGCATGAACGTGGAAGGATCAGAGAGAGAGGGAGACACAGAATCCCAAACAGGCTCCAGGCTCTGAGCTGTCAGCACAGAGCCCGAAGCGGGGCTTGAACTCACGAGTGGTGAGATCAGGACCTGAGCCAAAGTCGGACGCTTAACCGACCAAGCCACCCAGGCGCCCCAAGCATCTGTACATCTGTACTTAAGCATAAGTACAAAAAATAAACATTACTAAACAGTAGCCAGGATGCCTCCCTGTGAGGAACAAAAAAGTTATAGAAAAATAAACAAATATACTCATAAAAAGGAAAACAGAACAAATCAAATACCAGTGGTACAGATGAGCAATTTAAAAGTTCTGAGGAAGGTGTAGGTAAATTTTTAAAGAAGTAGAACTTGAACTGTACATTAAAAGATGATCAAGATTTAAGATAAATGACTCAGAAAACAAACTGTTCATGGTATATTCAGCAACCAGATGATCATTCTGGGTGAAAAAGACACTTATATTGGGAAACGGAACAAAGTTTACAAAAACAGACTAGAATTAATTTACAGAGAATCGTGAAAGCCAAGTTAAGAAATGTGGCTTACAATCATTAATTGAGGACTTTAGAAAAATAAGCTGACATGAAAAAGTAAGCATTTAAGGAAGTCATCTTGTAGCAGTCCATAGGATAGCTTTAATGATAAATGGAAAGGAAGCTGGGAAACCTATTAGGAGGTGAACAATAAATCAGGGTTGTATCAATAGGAAAAACACAAAAGGAATAGATTTACCAATTACAGCAAGCAAGACAAAGTCTAATAGAGAATACTCCAAGATTTTGTATCTATGTACCCCTAAACAACAGAAAGAAAAAAGTACAAGGTCTGAGTCAGTCAGATCTGGCTCAAATCTATGCTGTGTAATTTTAAATTTTTTTTTTTTTTTAACGTTCATTCATTTTTGAGAGACAGAGAGAGACAGACTGTGAGTGAGGGACAGGTAAATAGAGAGGGAGACACAAAATCTGAAGCAGGCTCCAGGCTCTGAGCTGTCAGCACAGAGCCCAACATGGGGCTCAAACGCACGAACAGCGAGATCATGACCTGAGCTGATGCGACGACACTTAACTGACTGAGCCACTCAGACGCCCCTATGCTGTGTAACTTTAAAGAAATAATTTAACTTCTCTGAGCCTTAGTTTCCTCAGATATAAATAGATATTTACTTTGGGTTTTGAGAAGATTAAAAAAGAAAATGCATATAAAGCATATATGCACCTGGGACACCCCAGGCACTAAACAAATGTGATTTCTGCCTTTCTCCCCTGGCTCCCTGTTCTTTATCCCTTAACAATTCTGTCTGAGAAATGAGCAGTACAGTAGGTGATCTGTCTACAAACTGTCATTTTAGAGTTAATAAAATTGAGTTAATGAGAAATTAAATGTATCAATGACATAAAACCAGCTACCTTCACTGTTGGCACCAGAAGACAGATCTATTGACCCATAAAATACATAAAAAGTAGTGGGAAATCAAGACTCTTCTTTGAAGAAATATCCTCTACTAAATATATAACAGAAGAATGGCTTCAAAATTTAAAAACATTTAAATTTGACTGTTGCCTTAATATAAAAAGGGCAATCCATTTTAAAAGAAAACATTTTTTTTTAGTATATATAGCAAATTCTAGACTAGAATGAGGACCTTTCCATTAGAGAAGGAAAATTAATGATATATAAATTTCTTCTTCTAACCAGACTAAATATAAGAAAACTTCAGACACAGCAATAAGTTTACTCACCTTCCATGGGCATGGAAATTTAGACGTAAAAACTGGTCCTCGTGTGAAATTGCTCTTTTGGCACGCTGGTGTTTTTGGTGTAATGAATCCACATCATAAGATAATCCTTCATAATGTCTAATGTATTTATTTAAAGGATTTCCATATTGACCTATAAAAAATAAACAGTTTGAATTAGTATCATAATGAAGGTCCATTCTAGTCCTAATACTATTCCATGATTATTCAAATATCTATAAATATGTATGAAACAACTGTCTCACTAATGTTAGTACTTTATTTTCACATACATTTTTCTAAAAATTTATTGTAATGGGAATTTCAACCATACACAAAAGTTTGAAAGTTAGCCACAAGTTTGTCTTTGATGTCTTTTATCAGGTTAGGTTAAGTTTTTTATTAATACTTTGTAGATAAAAACTATCAGGGACAGATGCTGACCTGTCACCTGCTATTTCTACACCTAGTAAGTTGATTCCATGGATTTTTTTAGCTTATTAACGTGACAAAGTTGACTGATTTTTTTTTATTTTTTTTAATGTTTATTTATTTTTGAGGATAGAGTGTGAGTGGGGGAGGGGCAGAGAGAGAGGGAGACACAGAATCTGAAGCAGGTTCCAGGCTCTGAGCTCTCTGCACAGAGTCCAATGCAGGGCTCGAGCTCAAGAACCGTGAGACCATGACCTGAACCGAAGTCGGACCCTTAGTGGAATGAGCCACTCAGGTGCCCCCCAAATTGACTGATTTTCTAATATTAAACCAACCTGCATTACTGAAATAAACCCCACTTGGTTACAATGTACTATGTTTTACAATATTGTGGGATTTGACTTGCTAATATAACTTTGTTTAGAATCTTTGTTATCTGTGTTCATGAGAGACACTGGTCTGAAGTTTTCTATTTTTTGTACTGTCTTTGCCAAGTTTTGATATCAGAGTAAAAGAGGAGTTGGAAAATATTACCTCTTTTTCAACTTTGTGGACACATTCATATAGCACTGGTATTTGTACCTCCTTAAATGTTTGGCAGAATTCAGCAGTAAAGCCATCCTGGCCTAGACTTCTCTTTGTGAAAAGGTTATTAACTATAATTTCAATTTCATATATAAAGAGCTATTCACATTATCTACTTCTTAAATGAGTTTTGCAAGAATTTGTCCATTTCACCTAAGATGTTTAAGTTATGGAAATAAAATTGTCCAAAATTCCCTTATTATGTTTTTACATCTTTTTGAATCTGTAGTGATATTACTTCTCTCATTCCTGATATTGGTAATCTATATCTTGTCTCTTTCATTCCTGATCAGGATAGCTAGAGATTTATTGATTTTATTTATATTTTTTTAAAAAAAAACAACTTTTATTTCCTTTGATTTTCCCTAATTATCTTTGTTTTCTATTTATTGATTTTCCCTTTGGTCTTCATTATTTATTTAATGCTTACTTTGAGTTTAACTACTCTTCTTTTTTGTTGCATAAAGTAATGCCACTGATTTAAGACTTTGCTTCTTCTCTAATCCAGATGTTTAGTACTATAAATGTACCCTTAATACAGCTTTAGCAGCATCCCACAGATTCTGTTATGCTGTTACCATTTTATTCTATTCAGTATACTTTCTAATTTCCATTTTGATCCATGTACTATTTATAAGTCTGTTACTTATTTTCGAATACTAAGGATTTTCTCAATTATCTTTTTGCTATTGACTTCTAATTTACCCCACTACAGCCAGAAAACATGCTTTGTATATCAATACTTTTAAATAGTTATTTTATGACCCAGAATATGATATGTACAATATTTCATGTGCACTTGAAAAGAATGTGTATTCTGCTGTTAATAGTGAGTGTTCCAGGAATGTCAATCTCTGCTCTTCTTGAGTATTCTATAAATTTCAACCAGGTCAAACTGGTTGATGGGATTGTTCAAGTCTTTTATATCCTTACTGATTTTTCTACCTACCTGTTCTATTATCAAGAGAGGGGTACTGAAATCTGTCTATGATTGTGATCTTCTGTTTTTCCCCTGCAACTGTTTGCTTTGTTGATTTTTGAAGCTCCGTTATTACATACATAAATGTTCATGATTATCATGCCTTTTGGATCAATTCATCCTTTATTATTAACAAATGATCTTCAGGGCACCTGGGTGGCTCAGTCGGTTAAGCGTCCGACTTCG